TTCCATGTGCTGACCCGTTTTCGGGCTGCAATGTATTATGTTGCAGACTTTTCAGACGACGAGTAAGGGTGCGATAGGTCGTTTGTCATGCACTCAGCTATGTCGTTGGAGTTGATGGACTCACTTTATCTTCCAAGTCTTCCGCTGTTATCGTATTAGATGGCCTTAAGCCATATTTATTGTAATAAGTTCTCTCTTGAGACATTCGTTGTAATAAGTGTGTGATTGCCACTCTGTTATAAATCATTCGAGTATAGTGTGTGTCAGCATTGCCGATCCAGGGATGACACTGAAACACAGAGGCTTGACCATTTGAGGTCAGGTCGCTACACGCCTGAGCTCCACGAAGCCGAATTCGCGAAGCTAAGCTAGGCCGTAGTGCAAAAAAGCAAAGCTAGGGAAACCGAGCTCTGGGAAACGGAAAAGTGAGAGTTGCATGTATTTACAGCCATTTTTCCACCATCTAGGAAAAGGCTTCAGCCAACCACCCAGTCCTCCTGAATCGGTACTGCACATCTCTCCCAAATCAGCAGCCCTCCCCGAAACATCTCTCCCTCTCGAACCCTAGGAAAGGCTCGGCACCGCCGATCCCGCCGGCACGTCCCGCTACCCCCATCGCTGGTCAGATTCACTCCTCCACCGACAGATCGGGTCATCTCAGGCTCTTTCCCTCTGGATCCCATCCTGTTAATGCCCGAGATGTCGCCGCCAGCCAGGAGCAGCGAGCCCATCGCAAGGAGGAGCTCCCTTCGACGCCATTGACGCCCGAGAAAGCTTGCCCAAGCAAGGAGCAGCATCTCCACATCATGCAACCCAGCCCGTTTAACCCTCTATTTCGGCCTTTGCATAGACATCTCGCCAACTGTGCTGCCTCTAGCTGGCCCAAACCAGCGCCCAACAGGCCAGTAGCCTCCCATCTGGGCTGCAACGTTGGGAGAAGTTGAGGTCGCTGCCGAACATTTTTTTATCGCTAGGTGAAGCGGGAAGCTGGTTGGAGAAGTTAAATTTGCAGAGTTGGTGGAGTTGGGAGAGGTTCTGCCCTAAGTAGCCGCTACAGATGTTGCACGCAAGCCCAAAGTTCGTCCCCATGCACATGGAAAATACTGACAGTGACACCATAGGCTACCATGTGGCGAGTTCACCGTCGCTGACATCTGTCCTCGACAACCTACGATGTCAGGCGGTGAAGGAGATGATGGTTTTCGTGTGTGTGAAACACAACACCAAGGATAAGTGATGCACCCTTTCTTGGTTCGATGAGGGGCGAAGAGATGCACGAATCCTACCTCTAGGACATGAAGATTTTTACACAACTTCGGCTGCTAAGAAGCATAATACCCTAGGTCCTGCTTGTCTTTCTTATTGGATATGGTGAACAAGGTTCGCAAGTGTTGGTTTCCGTAGCTGGGGCTAGGAAACGATGTTGGTGCAGTGTGTGGGAACTAGCTGGGAGCCTGGAACTATTAAGTGCCCAACCCTGATCTAAGTAGTCTGGGCCTCCTTTTATAGTCATAAGGGTTTGCCACATCGGCTACAAAGTAGTAAATAAGGTGGTTGCATAGTGGAGTACCTAACATAGTAACTGTGAGAGGCACGTGGCGACGAGGCGCGTAGTCGGGAGCATACGCATGTCCCATCGGGCAGCTTTGTTGACTTCGCGCCCGTCACTATTGTACGACCTGCCAAGTAGCACCCATGTCGCAGTGAGCCACCATGCATGCGACTTTCCTTCCAAGGGAAGCCGCACATGCGAGACAGCGCGCCTTGGGCTACGATTGGATGTTGCAGGTCTAGGCCACTGTAGGTCTGAGCAGTCCTATCGCCGCGCCCGCCATCGACTGGTCGTTGGCGGGTCCTCGGGCATCCATGGGAGGCAAGTGACGGGGGGCATGCCCCCTGGAAGTAGCTCCTCACCGGGTAGATCTTGGCCTTGACATCGTCGGTGGTGTCAAAGGGTTTTCACCCCAAGTGTGATGGTCTTGCTAGTGAGAGTCTTCACAAGGATCTAGATCTTGAGGTAGTTCTTTAACGTGGATTGGCGTACCACCGTGTTGTTGCCGGGCAGGATGGCGGTGCTGATTCCTTCTGGATGTTGTAGGTTGTCGGGCGCGAACATCCTCGAACTACCCATGGTAGTGAGGCGGCCACGCTAGCGCTGATGATAGGCTTTCGTAGGCTTAGTTCTTGACAAAGATTTGCGTGCCACCTCGGGAGGGGCATGGATTTGTAGTTCATGGGCGGCGAGCCCGTGTGCACCCGTAGACGGGGCTGACGCGACCCATGTGAGACAAATCCGTGGGACCCCCAGGCATCACGGGACGACAATGGTAAACTGGATCTTGGCACTCGCGGTTGAGGTTCGACGGGTGCTCGTGGAGGAGCAATCCCTTGTGTTCATCTGACCGGCCAGTGAGTGGCAACCTAGGATGACGTCCGTGTTGATGTTAGTTAACTTGGACGCCTCATATGAGTAATGCAAGGGCTTGGGCATTAGCAGCGCGATGGTGCTGCAGCTAGTTATTGTGTGTAGGGGGGGGGGGGCTCGGCAACCACAACAAGGAGATCAAGTGGTGCGGCGACACATTTGCATGTGCGTTGGCGTATCTGCATGCGCGACAATGGTGGTTCCGTGTGGCATAGTGGTCACTCGCTGGCGGCGCAAAGGAGATTTTCCTTTGGTGTGAAGGCAATGCCCATCACATGAGATGGTTTGTGGCACCAGCATCAGCGTCTGGCGCTGGTGAATTTGGGGCACGTCAGTGGTTCCTCACCGACATCTAGCACCGACGCAGTGACTCCAACAATATGGTGTATGTTGCAGTATAACTCACGCTGGTGTTGAGTGGCAGCAGCCAGATATGCACAGAGACATTGGCACCCTCCCGGCGAACATGGTGGTGGTCTAGGGTGTGAAGACACCCCACCAATCTGTTATTGCCTTTTTGGCCTGGTGTGGAGTACTGCAGATACAAGATGTTGACTTAAACACCGTTTCATGTTCTGATGAAAACTCTTGCACTTACCATTATTGGTTTTGCTCAGCATCGACGAAATTGTACCTTTATCTTGTTAAAGGCTTGTCTATTTGTTGTTGTGTTGGTTTTCATTGGTTGGTCTTAACAAGCAGGCTGAAAATCCTTGTCGAACTGACGTGACGACGGTGATACAAGAATGTTTATTTTTTTAAGTGGTTGTTTTTATTTATACGCTGCTTAATACTCCCTCCATTCACGAATATAAGATATTCTATCTTTTTTTCGAAATTCGATGTACATAGATACATTTTAGTGCGTTTGCTACTCATTTCAATATGTATAAAGTACAAAAACATCTTGTAGTTTGTGAATGGAAGAAGTAATTAACAAAAACAATCAGATGCATCTCACTGATGCAAAGGCCGGGGATTCAACCTCCTGTCAAAAAAGAATACTTACTGTGATACTCTCACGTAAGTCTAGTACTGAGCCTGGCACGTGTCAGATTCCGTAGCGTGGAAGGTATAGCCAACAGGGCCGGGGCGAGGGTGACGGACGTGCTGCGAGGTGAGCGAGCCACGCGCCGACTTGAAGTAGGCGCGGTGTGCTAGAGAAGTGTCCGATCTATGAGCCACCACCACGCAAGGATGTGATAACGATCGGCCCAATCATCCTCAAAAACTGATATATGTCAGGATGTCACGATCGATCGACCATGCTGTAGGCCCGTAGCACGCCCGGTGAGAAACTGGAGAATCGTTTACCCTTGGCGGTCGGCGGCTCCGCCGTGTCGGACTCTCGGTTCCTTTTGTTTTGCTCCTTTGGCCTCGGGTGGTTGGGCTGCTCGTTGCCATGCGTCGCCGTTCCGTGTTCCGTCCGACTACCCGCGCGCGTCGGCATGGTCCAGACCCCTAAGGCTGGTCATAGTGGGAGTAACATAGGTAGTAACATAGATGCCACATAAGCAAAATTGGTGATGTGGCAAGTAGTTAATGAGGAGAGAAGCAAATAGAGTAACATAATATGTTACCATCACATAGCGGTTTCCAATGCATAATGAGTCTACAAAGTAATAAATGAAGGCAACTATGTTACCACACCTATGATACTACCCACTATAAAAGTAGTAATATAGACTAGTAACATATGTATGTTACTAGTCTAAGTTACTCTCCACTATGACCAGCCTAACGTGGCATAGCAAACGTAGCGCCGCGCTGCATACCTGCCGCCGCGCCCATGTGTCGTGAACTCGAGGCGAGTGGGCAGACGCCTCTCGCGCACCCACGCCATGACCGATGGATGCTGCCATGCTGGGTACTGTATGGTAGGACGTCACGAGTACTCGAGTCGAGTGCTATCCATTAACGCAGAAAAAGAAAAAGAAAAAGAAAAAGAAAAAGCCCAGTGGTAGTAGGTTGCTGCGCGCGCGCTCTAGCCGCGATGGAGTAGTCTGTGGGCGCCCCGGATTTGGCGCGGCGGCGCCGCTCCAATCTCGTTGGCTCATCGTGACGGGAGCCCACAGGTGTCCCGGAATTATGCGCAACCGCCGGCGTGCGCTTGTCCCTGCGTGCGAGATCTCGTTCCCATCCGAATCCGACCGAGACGGTGGGTGGGGCCGTCGGGGCAGTGGGCGGGGCCCACGGTTTCGGGGCCCGGGAGGAATCCCGGGCAGCTGCCCGCGGGCAGGCCTTGCCCGTATAAAGCGAGGGGTATTCGCCGGGGCAACGCAGTTTGCCGCTCTCGGCACCTCCTCTCGCCCCGGCAGCTGCTCTGCTCTGCTTCCCTCCCCTCTTGCAGATTTCTAGGTAGAGTGACTCTGCTGCTAATCTCAAGTTCTTTCTGTTCTTCTTCTGCTGCTTTCTAGTGTTATTTTCACCTGTATGTGCGCTAACACGCAACTGATTACCACCAACCATCCTCCTTGTTGGGTTGTTGATTAGTACTCCTAATGAACCCTCGATCTAAATCTCGGGTTATTTGGAAATCGGAACGAATCATGTATTTACTCGAGCGTTAAATTCAATGCCTATGCAGAAACAGGAAACACAGGGGGCAGAAATGGCTTCCAACTACGTGGACACCACGGGGGAGGAGGGGAGGTTCCACGCCCACGGCCACCACAGCAACAGCACCACGCCGACCGGCGAGGCCGCGTCGCCCAAGAATACGCGGAGGAGATGGCCCGGGTCGGCATCGGCGCCGTCCGGCGCAGGCCACAGACTCGCTTCCAAATGCGTCTGTGCGCCGGCCACCCACGCCGGGTCCTTCAAGTGCCGCTTCCATCGTACCAACTCCCAGGGCCACGGCCACGGCCAGGGCCAGGGAAGCCGTCCTTCTTCGCCTCCTTCACCGGCCGCGGCCAACACGGTGCCGCGGCACCCGGCCTCGCCATCCTCCTCCTCCGGCATCGTCGCGACCCAGTGACGCAGCCCAAGCATCGGTCTCAAGAATCAAGAATGCTCGATGATGAAGAGAGAAGGAAAGATCATATACATGTCATAAGAAAGGGAGTTTATTTACTGCTCCCTCCTCGATGTATTGTGTCGATCGGAGAACTCTTGTTTTCTCTCTCTCTCTCCCACCCCGTCTTTTGTTGGGATCTCCCTTGAATCGAATGGACTTTCCTCTTCATGGAAGGAAATTATCCTGCTTGCCTGCTTCTCCCCACCCTTCATCTGAGATGGACCATATGGGTCAGAGGATTTCGAGTTCGTGTGGTGTTCTCTTGTGATTATCATTTCAGTTAAATCCATGCTTCTTGCAAGATTTAAGATCTTATGATGGGCTCAGTAATTTTTTTCAGTAGGGGCCATGAGTTGGAGGAGCATCTCTTAGCACGAACAGATTTGCTAATGCAAATGAGCCAACCAGATAGAACAGGGTACTTTTCTTTTCTTTTGAAACGTATGACAGGGTACTTCGGTAGTACATCACCCCTGAGATCTCAGATTTCTTGGATCGTGAAAAGTAGCAGTCACAGACACAGGTCTGGTACTATTTACCATGGTGCTTCCGCGTCTTTTGGTGGTTGCGTTCACTTCACTGCCAGCCCATTCTGGTGCTGTCTTGATTAAGCGTTTGTTCATATTATCATGTGAATGATTTGTCATCGCTGTATGATCATGTGGTACTGCCACAACATTCGGACGAACCTTGCAAAGATTCGTCCAGGTGTAATTAAATTATATCGATCTGGCTATTTCGTAGGCAATCAAGATCTTTTTTGACATGTAGACGATCAAGAAATAATTGTTTCTAAATTGCTGCTAATCGTTACCGATCTAAACATGAGATTTGCGTGAGTACGTACTGTCAATATTCAAGGTAATAACAATATCAAACTCGAGTAAGCGATCAGACTCCACCGTATGCTATTTTCCCGTTCTTAATTCAATTCATGTACCTGCACCAATTTCCTCACCAGCACCCACGTTCTTCAGTCGGTGAGGTGAGTTAGTACCTGAACCAGAACGAATAATCTAGTCAGATGCTTGCAAAACTGTAGTGACAACGATAAGATGGTTGGTATGTCATGGCCCATAATCGCTTTCAGTTCTCTTCTTTTTAGCAAGCCGCTCTCAGTTTATAGGCCCTACAGTCATGTTGTGTCAACATGGTATGCAATTTTTACAAATATATTTTGTACATAAGTGATTCCAAAACTATAATTCTAGGACGACGTTAGCTGGCGAAGGTGAACCTTCGACAGGAAGGGTGGCATATGTGAACGATTTTGTGGCAGTTTTAGTTGTGAACAAGTGGCGAGGTGTGTCATTCTCTTATGCCACATGGCAGTTTCTTGGTGAGGAGGCAATTTTCATTTAAAAACTGTCATCGTTTCATCTCGCCTAACAACTAAAAACGCCAGCAAGTAACGTTCGCTTGCCACCCCCTCCAAGCTGACTTTGCCCGGTAATTCTAAAACTATTATACGGAGCGATATGTCCGTTGTTTTAATTTAACATGCATATATATAGATCATTTTCAATTTAAGCATATATATTAAACATACATATATAGATAAATATCAATTTAAGCATATATATTTAAATAGTCGCATGAGATGCAAGCTATGGACAGCAGATTGGTGTGAGGGATGGCGGCAGTGGGGCGGTCTCACATCACATATAGCTATTAAGGTTGTGGAAAAATGGTGACGACAACACATATGTGACTTCGATGGTGCTGCTATTCAAGCATGGTCTCAACCTTTGGGGTGAAAGTCTAGGTCTGAACCAAGTTGGTTAGAGCATCTACACTTGAAATTGACAAATTCACCCCTCTATACGCCCGCGAGAGCGTCCGCAGACGGCACTGGTCGGCCTCTCATATATTGCACCTCACATCCACATACCTTGGATACCGATCCTCAAATCCATGCGATCCATGAAGGTCGATCATACGATACAAATTATTCGAGTTCAACAGTTCGAAACCAAGTAAAGCAAATCATAGTCCAATAAACCGGACATGCCAAAATGAGATCAATGTCCGAGCATGACAAATGGCTTCGGATCACTGGCCGGATGCCTACTCCTGGCGGAATGTGTCCTGCTCGTCCTGCTCACCTGCATCCGGGCCTCATGATCCGTTGTCCCTGCTGCCGCCGCCGTTGCCGCCTTGTACTCCCTACGGTCACCGATAGAGGGTTTCATCCGCCAACATGATCTTCGCATCCTCTGCTTCTCGTGTGAGTTACAACCTCTCCTTCTCAAGCTCTATCTCGCCAAATGTCTTGGCCTTCTCGAGTTCCCATTTGACCGCCGTCTCCTGCTTCTCCAACTCGATCTTCACCCTCTCAATTTCGAGCTTCTTCTCTGCCCTCTTCCGGTCCCACTTCATCATCTCCTTTTGCGCATCCTGAAGGAAATATGCCCTAGAGGCAATAATAAAGTTGTTATTTATATTTTCTTATATCATCATAAATGTTTATTATTCATGCTAGAATTATATTAACCGGAAACTTAGTACATGTGTGAATACATAGACAAACGGAGTGTCCCTAGTATGCCTCTACTTGACTAGCTCGTTAATCAAAGATGGTTAAGTTTCCTAGCTATGGACAAAGAGTTGCCATTCGATAAGCGGGATCACATCATTAGAGAATGATGTGATTGACTTGACCCATCCATTAGCTTAGCACAATGATCGTTACAGTTTCATTGCTACTGCTTTCTTCATGACTTATACATGTTCCTCAGACTATGAGATTATGCAACTCCCGAATACCGGAGGAACACCTTGTGTGCTATCAAACGTCACAACGTAACTGGGTGATTATAAAGATGCTCTACAGGTGTCTCCGATGGTGTTTGTTGAGTTGGCATAGATTGATATTAGGATTTGTCATTCCGTGTATCGGAGAGGTATCTCTGAGTCCTCTCGATAATGCACATCACTATGAGCATAATGAGTTACTCACGGGATGATGCATTATGGAACGAGTAAAGAGACTTGCCGATGACGAGATTGAACTAGGTATGATGATACCAACGATCGAATCTCGGGCAAGTAACATACCTATGACAAAGGGAACAACATATGTTGTTATGCGGTTTGACCGATAAAATCTTCGTAGAATATGTAAGAACCAATATGAGCATCCAGGTTCCGCTATTGGTTATTGATCGAAGATGTGTCTCGGTCATGTCTACATAGTTCTTGAACCCGTAGGGACCGCACGCTTAATGTTCGATGACGATTTGTATTATGAGTTTATGTGATTTGATGACCGAAGGTTGTTTGGAGTCCCGGATGAGATTACAGACGTGATAAGGAGTCTCAACATGATCGAGACATAAAGATGGATATATTGGAAGGTTATGTTTGGACACCGGAATGGTTTCAGATAGGTTCGGGCATTTTTCAGAGTACCGGGGGGTTACCGAAACCCCCCGGGGGATTAATGGGCCGCAATGAGCCTTAGTGGAGAAGAGAGAGGGCGGCCAGAGGTGGTGCCCCCCGTTGCCCAGTCCGAATTGGACAAGGGGAGGGGGCGGCGCCCCCCTCCTTCCTTCTCTTCTCTCCTCTTTCCCTTCTTCTCCTACTTGGACTAGGAAAGGGGGGGGGGCGAATCCTACTTGGACTAGGAGTCCAAGTAGGCCTAGTCCAAGTAGGACTCCCTCCATGGCGCTCCCCCTCCTAGGGCCGGCCTCCTCTCCTCCATCCTTTATATACGTGGGGAGGGGGCACCCCAAAGACACACAAGTTGATCTTTTAGCCGTGTGCGGTGCCCCCCTCCACAATTACACATCTCGGTCACATCGTTGTAGTGCTTAGGCGAAGCCGTGTGTCAGTAACTTCATCATCACCGTCGTCACGCCGTCGTGCTGACGAAACTCTCCCTCAGGGTCAATTGGATCAAGAGTTCGAGGGACGTCACCGAGCTGAACGTGCGTAGATCGTGGAGGTGTCGTGCGTTCGGTACTTGATTGGTTGGATCGCTAAGACGTTCGACTACATCAACCACGTTACTAAACGCTTCCGCTTTCGGTCTACGAGGGTACATAGACACACTCTCCCCTCTCATTGCTATGCATCTCCTAGATAGATCTCGCGTGATCGTAGGTGAAAATTTTGAAATACCGCGTTCCCCAACAGTGGCATCCGAGCCAGGTCTATGCGTAGATGTTATATGCACGAGTAGAACACAAAGAGTTGTGGGCGATAATAGTCATATTTCTTACCAGCATGTCATACTTTGATTCGGCGGTATTGTTGGATGAAGCGGTCCAGACCGATATTACATGACCGCTTTCATGAGTCTGGTTCTACCACCGTGCTTCGCACACATGTGGCTAGTGGGTATCTTTTTCTCCAGCTTTAGTTGAATCGAGTTTGACTATGCTCGGTTCTTGTTGAAGGTTAAAACAACACACTTGACGAAAAATCGTTGTGGTGTTTGATGCGTAGGTAAGAACAGTTCTTACTAGAAGCCCGTAGTAGCCACGTAAAACTTGCAACAACAAAGTAAAGGACGTCTAACTTGTTTTTGCAGGGCATGTTGTGATGTGATATGGTCAAGATGTGACGATATATAAATTGTTGTATGAGATGATCATGTTTTGTAAAAGTTATCGACAACTGGCAGGAGCCATATGGCCATTGGTTTATTGTATGAAATGCAATCGTCATATAATTGCTTTACTTTATCTCTAAGTGGTAGCGATAGTCGTAGAAGCAATAGTTGGCGAGATGACAGCGATGCTACGATGGATATCAAGGTATCAAGTCAGTGATGATGGTGATCATGACGGTGCTTTAGAGATGGAGATCAAAGGCACAAGATGATGATGGCCATATCATGTCACTTATATTGATTGCATGTGATGTTTATCTTTTATGCATCTTATGTTGCTTAGTACGTCGGTAGCATTATAAGATGATCTCTCACTAAATTTTAAGGTATAAGTGTTCTCCCTGAG